TAAAAAACAGCATTTTAATTTTTTTCTTTTATTAGTTAAATAAAACTACCTTAAAATGTTCTGATACATAAAGGGAAAAAAGTTTATCAAAACATGTTTGGCATTTAAAACTAACTGATTTATTAAACAAAGGAAGTATTATCTGTAACTAGTGAGTTGTACTGATTGTTTCTGATCATCTTATCCTTCAAGATTTTAGAACTAATAGATCTGATCCTTTCACACCTTCACATACTGGAAAAGGAAAAATAACCTTTCCTGCTTTTTCAATTCCCAATCAGTGTCTCAACTTTGAAGTGGTCACTAAACTGACCTAGTTGAATAAACTGAAATGAAGAAAATATTCTCTCTGCACTGCAGAAAAGGCTACTGCTGTCAAAAGCTGGTTAGCACTTCAACAAACTCTGGTTCCAGGTAATTAGTCAGTGACTTCCACCACTTCAGTGGTTTGACTTTCTTTAAAACTTCAGCAGCAAACATGAAGCTTGAAAAAAACATCCAAGCAATACAATTTTTTTTTAAATTGAAGTTAACACAGTTAGTAAATTTAGGCCTTAACACAGGTCGTCGTCATTTCAAATTTAATTTTTAAAAAGTTTTATTTTAAATAAGAAAAATGTATTCTATTTAAGTAAAAATATCTGAGTTTATTTTTAAAAAGTCATCCATTTTTATCTTTCCTAATATTGTTATATCCAATATTAGAATTATTCACAGAAGTACACATTGGTGTGAAATTTGTTCCTACTTCCTCCCATGCAGTGAATATCCAAGGGGCCTGACAAAAAATAGAAAAAAGTTATGCTATTTGCAGTGGGGTTTTTAATAAGCCAGTGACAAAGTAATTTCTGACGTGCAATAGGTTCACACCAATTAAACAAATGAATACTGCCCAGCAAAACACAGTGGAAAAAAACATATGTTGCCTTTGCTTTGTACATGAAACACTTTGCGTGATTTAGTCTGGAGGAGAAGGAAGGAGATTTCAGCCACTACTGTTATTACACTGTATCTATTCTTTAAGGGCAAGGACAAACGCTTAAAGTTGAGAATGTGCTTAAGTGTGACAATCTCATCAATGGGGGAGGGTGTGTCAGCCAGCAGAAAATCAGGTCCCTAATGCCACATGACCAAGAGTTCTATTCTGCCACCTCCAGTGCGTGGTTCTGCCTGATAGATGTTGCTGGCTGTGTGTTTATACAGGCAACTTAGCTGGGGAGGGCACAGGATAGGGAAATGGAACACCCTTCAGTCTTGGGAGCTTCCCAGGGCAGCAGCAATGTGGAAAGCAGGGGACTTGTGTTGAGGAAGGGAGCTGACTGGTAGGAAGAGTTGTGGCATATTATCAGGATAAATTGTCTAGGGTTGCCATGTGGCGTGAGGGTAGATGGTGGTAGGATGCTGAGGGAGTATAAAGAGAAGGGTGAATAGTTAGGGAGGTTGGCAATAAGGGGAGATGAGTATTTAAGGAGGGTTGGTTTGAGGGGAGGGACTTGGCCCTCAACTCAGCATAGTACTTCAGTCCATGTTTAACTTTAAACTTCAACAGAATGTAGGCACCACAGAAATGTTTTGCTGAATCACGGCCTTAGATAAGCAGTAAAGAGAGGCAGTGAAAAGGGGCACTTTGCTCTAGAATAGCATTTTAGTTGGTTGGAGAAATTGTTATGCATATTGGGAAATGTATTTTGTAACAAGATGTGTACATAAAAAAAGATAGTAATCATGCACACTTATTTTTGTAACCCTTGTCCACTCATTGTATTTATCCCATCTATTACCGTAGCTCTCGTTGCACATCTTATCAGAACAAGAGTTCCTTGAAGCAGGGGCTGTCTTCTCATATTTGTAAAACACCTAGAACATTTTGGGTGCTACTGAATTATAAGCAGTACATTGTAAGTCTTCATTCCATCAGATCCATTGTTCTTTTTCCTTTCCAAACACTGACTAATGAGTAGCAATATCAATGGCTAGGAGCTAAGCATTAAAATAATTGTTTAGTAGGGGATACAAATCTGGTTACTATAGTGATGAGCGTGGTATAAATACACAGTTGTCACTAAGTGGAAGCAAGAGACTAAAAATGGTACTGCTACTTACTCTGGTCACATCCACTTAGGATACCAGCAAAAACTAGTTTTTACTAGTGTAAACACTACAACAAAGTCAAATTAGTTAATCATCAGAGGGATAGCTGTGTTAGTCTGGATCTGTAAAAGCGGCAACGAGTCCTGTGGCACCTTACAGACAGATGTATTGGAGCATAAGCTTTCGTGGGTGAATACCCACTTCGTTGGATGCATGTAGTGGAAATTTCCAGAGACAGGTATAAATATGCAAGCAAGAATCAGGCTAGGGATAACGAGGTTAGCTCAATCAAGGAGGATGAGGCCCTCTTCTAGCAGCTGAGGTGTGAACACCAAAGGAGGAGAAACTACTTTTGTAGTTGGCTAGCCATTCAGTCTGTGTTTAATCCTGAGCTGATAGTGTCAAATTTGCAAATGAACTGAAGCTCAGTAGTTTCTCTTTGAAGTCTGGTCCTGAAGTTTTTGCTGCAGGATGGCTACCTTTAAATCTGCTATTATGTGTCCAGTGAGGTTGAAGTGTTCTCCTACAGGTTTTTGTATATTGCCATTCCTAATATCTGATTTGTGTCCATTTATCCTTTTACGTAGGGACTGTCCAGTTTGGCCAATGTACATAGCAGATGGGCATTGCTGGCACATGATGGCGTACATGACACTGGTGGACGTGTAGGTGAATGAACCGGTGATGGTGTGGCTGATCTGGTTAGGTCCTGTGATCGTGTCGCTGGTGTAGATATTTGGGCAGAGTTGGCATCAAGGTTTGTTGCATGGATTGGTTCCTGAGTTAGAGTTACTATGGTGCGGTGTGTAGTTGCTGGTGAGAATATGCTTCAGGTTGGCAAGCTGTCTGTGGGCGAGGACTGGCCTGCCTCCCAAAGCGTGTGAAAGTGAGGAACCGTTGTCCAGGATGGGTTGTAGATCACTGATGATGTGTTGGAGAGGTTTTAGCTGAGGACTGTACGTGATGGCCAGTGGAGTTCTGCTGGTTTCTTTCTTGGGCGTGTCTTGCAGCAGGAGGCTTCTGGGTACATGTCTGGCTCTGTTGATCTGTTTCCTTATTTCCTTGTGTGGGTATTGTAGTTTTGAGAATGTTTGGTGAAGATCTTGTAGGTGTTGGTCTCTGTCTGAGGGGTTGGAGCAAATGCGATTGTACCTAAGCGCTTGGCTGTAGACAATGGATCGTGTGGTGTGTCTGGGGTGGAAGCTGGAGGCATGAAGGTAGGCAGGTTTTCGGTATAGGGTGGTGTTAACGTGACCGTCACTTATTTGCACCGTGGTGTCTAGGAAGTGAACCTCCCGTGTAGATTGGTCCAGACTGAGATTGATAGTGGGGTGGAAGCTGTTGAAATCGTGGTGGAATTCTTCCAGGGTCTCCTTCTCATGGGTCCAGATGATGAAGATGTCATCAATGTAACATAGGTAGAGAAGGGGCGTGAGTGGACGAGAGCTGAGGAAGCGCTGTTCCAGGTCAGCCATAAAAATGTTGGCATATTGTGGGGCCATGCGGGTGCCCATAGCGGTGCCACTGGTCTGGAGGTATATATTGTCACCAAATTTGAAATAATTGTGCATGAGGATAAAGTTACAGAGCTCAGCAACCAGCTGTGCTGTGGCATCATCAGGGATACTGTTCCTGACAGCTTTTATTCCATCTGTGTGTGGGATGTTTGTGTAGAGAGACTCTACATGCATGGTGGTTAGGATGGTGTTTTCTGGAAGATCACCAGTACATTGTAGTTTTCTCAGGAAATCAGCAGTGTCATGGAGATAGCTGGGAGTGCCAGTGGCGGAGGGCCTGAGTAGAGAGTCCACATATCCGGACAGTCCTTCAGTGAGAGTGCCAATGCCCGAGATGCCAATGCCCGGCATCCAGGGAACCAATCCATCCACCAAACCTCGATGCCAACTCTGCCCACATATCTACACCAGCGACACCAACACAGGACCTAACCAGATCAGTCACACCATCACCGGTTCATTCATCTGCACGTCCACCAATGTAATATATGCCATCATGTGCCAGCAATGCCCCTCTGCTATGTACATCGGCCAAACTGGACAGTCCCTACGTAAAAGGATAAATGGACACAAATCAGATATTAGGAATGGCAATATACAAAAACCTGTAGGAGAACACTTCAACCTCGCTGGACACACAATAGCAGATTTAAAGGTAGCCATCCTGCAGCAAAAACTTCAGGACCAGACTTCAAAGAGAAACTACTGAGCTTCAGTTCATTTGCAAATTTGACACTATCAGCTCAGGATTAAACACAGACTGAATGGCTAGCCAACTACAAAAGTAGTTTCTCCTCCTTTGGTGTTCACACCTCAGCTGCTAGAAGAGGGCCTCATCCTCCTTGACTGAGCTAACCTCGTTATCCCTAGCCTGATTCTTGCTTGCATATTTATACCTGTCTCTGGAAATTTCCACTACATGCATCCAACAAAGTGGGTATTCATCCACGAAAGCTTATGCTCCAATACGTCTGTTAGTCTATAAGGTGCCACAGGACTCTTTGCTGCTTAAACTAGTTAATGAAGAGCAAAATGAGTTCTCTGCTGAGTCAATCATCATCAACAGAACGGTCATTAAATTCTGAGACCAGAGTCTTCATTACTGGTAATGATATATGAAGCAGTCAACATACCGCATGATCTTGTGATGGAGACAGAAAAACTTTGTTTAGATTAGTAATTTTGAGTTGACTTGACCTGGAAATTACTAGTGGATATTAAATATGAAATGGGTAGATGTCACTTCTCTGACCATAACCAGACTTTAGAATGAAGACAGTTCCTCAGATATGTATTTTATACAGGGGTGTAACTTGGCCAATAGCACATACAACCCTTCACAGGTTAATCTAGGAGTTGGGAACCATTTAATAGTACATAAATACTACTCACTTGTTTTGAAGGACAATGTTCATTCTTCTCATCTGTCATTGTCCCACTCTTTGATGCCTTTCTTGGTTGCTTGATAGTGGTTTTTATGGCAGGCCGGCACACATAATTCTCCAGGTTCTTAGGGGGCTTTTTAGTTCTCTTAGCTTGAAGACCAATTTTCAATTTTAAATTTCCTTCTGAAAAATTTGTTTCTTTCACTGAAAACTGTTGCTGTGCATCAGTCAGACCCTCATTCTTCCCAGGCTCAGTGTTGCTCCCCTCCCAGTTCTTCTTCTTAATATCTTCTTCCTCCTTGGTGCTACTCTCTAGATCTACTTCTCTCTTGCCTATCACTATGTCAGTATTGACTGCAGAGGGGCTTTTCCCAGAAAAACCTTCGGAATCAGAACCCAACCCTAACATAGCAGTATTCTGAGGGTCCATCACAGGTGCAGTATATGCCTTCAGGGGATTTTAGGGAAGGTTTACAGAGGTATGTTCCACAGAAAAATCTCTTCTACAACTTGCAACCACATCTTTTACACTGTAAGAGAAACACAAAAAATAGAATAAATCTTTTATTTTAAAGAAGAAATTAATGAAACATTCTTATCATTAATGACCAGAAAGCAAACATAAAAAGCTTATTTCTAGACAAAAGTTCCAAACAATGAGCATCAGATACACTCAGAGGGTATGACAAAACTCCCAAATCTCCGCTGATCTACAGCAGGAACCTACCAGCTCTCTTCTGTCAAGAAACAGTTTTTAGGTATCGGCTAGTAAAATTTAATCTGATTATTGGTTTAAAGGCCTGCAACTGTAGGTCCTATAAGGCCTTTTCAATTGAAAACTCCTGAACAAATACAGCCAATGTCAAAATTATTTTCCTATCACTGGCACTTACCCACTCCTCCCCTACAGCCTCACTGTAAAACTGGAAGCATATACCTACCCAGTTTTCCATCCACAAATCTCACCCCAGGTTTTTTTTTTTTTTTTTTTTTTGAGTAATAGGCAACTTTTGATCTCAGTTGTTATTCAAAAATCCAAGTCTCAAGACTGGGGAAAATAATGGGATAGTCTGTTTTTATTTCCTACAAACACCAGGAAACAGTTATAACATTTAATGGTAAGATTTGCCATTCAAAACTGTTTTCTGCCTTCTAGCCAACTCCACTTCTAATACAACTGCTAATGAGGTGTCTCTACTCAGCACAGATTCATTAAAAGACAACGTAGCCATTGCTCACTCCAGAGGCTCAGACACAAACTCTAAAGTAGACACTAGTTCCTGATTGTGTTGGAGAACAGGAAATGGCGATTATGACAGAAAGAAAATCTGCTAAATGGCAGCTCAGAACTACCACCCACTGTAAAATGGTAGAAGAATACCATTATTTACTGTTTAATCATCTGCAAGAAATTAGGTAACATCTTATGGTTCCACTTGCACACTATAAACACAAGAAACATAACTTCTCTTTTAGAGCTGATAAATATTTTCTGTTCTAGAAAGGACTATTTCCCATTAGTATTTCTTCATATTTATACATACATACATACCTTTAAAGAGCAGAACACTTTTAAAGGCTGTTGTCATGGCAACATTCTCCCACCATGAAATTTGATCAGATTTGCTTTCTTTCAAGTTTCTACAAGTTGCAACTTTCACTGCGCCAAACAATCAAGCAGTCTTTTTTCTTAGCAACTTTGCATTTAATAAATTACACATACTGACTAAGTTGAAGGCCAATCACATCAAACAGAAATGACCCTGGGGTTAAAATAGTACTTGAGATAGTGCTTTCTATTAGATGTCAGGGAATTATTTTCACACACTAAAAAAAAACAAAAACAAAAAACTAGTTGCCTTATTGCCCAGTCAGTATGTTTTTAGTTTTTGTTTTCCCTCAGCCTATCCCTCTATTCCATCTCCAACATATCAATCTAACTCCGTTCTCTCTCATAAGACTAGAATTAAGAGGAAGGTTCTAGAAAGTTTCTCATGTGTAGTTGGAATGGTCACTACAAGTGCTCTATCACTGAAAAATTATGAAAGGTCATTCTCAACTCAAAAATATTTCTTAGAGCACATTGCTTATTATCATTTACACAGAATAATCATAGTGAATAGTAAAATCCATATCCTTTTTGAATAGGACAGGGAATTGTAAGAGAGGTTATATTTAAATTTTATTTTAGAGTATGCTACAAGAGAAGCAATGAAAAGCAAATGGAAAGGCAACACATTTTTATAGGGATAAGGAAGACTGTGTGTGTTTCTTTTTGTTACTATTCAAGGACGTGCAGAACTTAACAACCAGGAAATATCTGAAGGATGGCAGGATCCTGGTTTAAAAACTCCAAATTTGAATTTCTTTACTGTATATTTGACTTATCCAATAATTTTATTTCCTCGAGATAAAGAGCAACAACAAACACGTTAATGTAAGAATTAGGGTTTTCAGACATACATTCTGATCATGTTGTTCTTTTTCTTTGGTTCTAGTTTTCGTTACCACATGTTGGACTCTTCTAACTCCATACGCACAAACAACTTGACAAGCTTCAATTTCTCCAAGACTTGGCATCTCATCTCCTTACCAATATAAGGAAATGGAACACACAACTCCCGTTCTCAAATATTCTGTGTTGGTCTATTCCACTATGCAATACAAAATGATAGAAAATGGTTGTTTTTAACTACAGCTACCAAAGCAAGTTTCAAAGGTTGATCACAAGTTTCAGAGTAACAGCCGTGTTAGTCTGTATTCGCAAAAAGAAAAGGAGTACTTGTGGCACCTTAGAGACTAACCAATTTATTTGAGCATAAGCTTTCGTGAGCTACAGCTCACTTCATCGGATGCATACTGTGGAAAGTACAGAAGATCTTTTTATACACACAAACCATGAAAAAATGGGTGTTCTTGTAGTTGATCACAAGGCGCTGCTGACCTTCTTACATGACAGAAATGCAACAGATAACACAACACTACAATGGTTTCGAACATGACCCAAATAGCATTAAGGGCAACTGATCCCCTTCCCTAAGATTTCTCACTTGCAGAGTCTGGCAGGAGTCTACTCACCCTCAACAATTATATAAGACCAGTTGGAGAGGTTATGAGATACACAAGCTACACTGACAACAATATGCTGAGGACACCCACCTTTAAACTATCCTTTACAACAAAAGCAACAACTCCATCTTAAAAGACATCCCAATGCCTGTGGGACACGTTCAACTGGCTGATTGGTAGCTGTACAAAGAAGACTAAAACGATGTTGGTGGGAAAAGGGAAGTGTCAAGGAACTGGCCAAGCACTGATCTCTCTTTTGTCATCTGCCCTCCATTCAAAATAGTATAAAATATTGGGGCTCTGCAGATTTAATGATGATCAATTAGTGACAGTGGCAAGAAAGGCCTTCTTTCATCTTCAGCTTGGTACAAAACTGTTATTTATTCTCAAAGAAGGATATAGCCACAGTCATCTCTATACTTTCATCTCCACACTCCCACTACTTTAAAAAGAGATACTTTGATACAATAGCTGCAGCAAAGGGAACTGAATTTTCCATGATTGGCTGTGCTACAGGCAAAATCCATCCAACTTGCTCTAGCAGATTCCAGATGGCAGAACATAGCACCCCACCTTCTTACTGAGATAATCCACTAAGGGTATGTCTACACTACAAAATTAGGTCAAATTTATAGAAGTCGAATTTTTAGAAAGTGATTTTATACAGTCGATTGTGTGGGTCCCCACTTAAGACCATTAAGTTGGCGAAGTATGTCTACAGTACCAAGGCTATCATCAATTTCCAGAGCGTTGCACTGTAGGTAGCTATCCCACAGTTCCTGCAGTCTCTGCCGCCCATTGGAATTCTGGGTTGAGAGCCCAAAGATAGGGCAAAAAACATTGTCGCGGGTGGTACTGGGTACATGTCGTCAGGCCCTCATTCCCTCCCTCCCTCCCTCCGTGAAAGCAACGGCAGACAATCGTTTCACACCTTTTTTCATGGGTTACCCGTGCAGATGCCATACCACGGCAAGCCTGGAGCCCACTCAGCTCACCGTCACCGTACGTCTCCTGGGTGCTGGCAGACGTGGGACTGCATTGCTACACAATAGCAGCTCATTGCCTTGTGGCAGCAGATAGTGCAGTATGACTAGTAGCCATCCTCGTTGTCTCCTGGGTGCTCTTGGCCGGCCTTGGTCAGGTCGGTCAGGGCGCCTGGGCAGACATGAGTGCTCCTGGCAGACTTCAGTGAGGTCTGTCAGGGGCGCCTGCACACAAATGGGAGTGACTCAGGCCATTCTCTTCTTTAAGTTTTGTCTAATGGAGATTCAGTCCTACCTGGAATATTGGCAGAGCGATAGTTCAGTGGTTTGAGCATTGGCCTGCTAAACCCAGGGTTGTGAGTTCAATCCTTGAGGGGGCCATTCTGCCTCAGGCTACTCTCCGAGCCAGCAGCACAGTCTGCTGCCAGCCTACCCCTCCCTCCGTGAAAGCAACGGCCAACAATCGTTTTGCGCCTTTTTCCATGCTGTCAGCATAGTCATCCACCCGCTGCTACTCTGCTCTCCTGCTCACGCCATACCATGGCGAGCATGGAGCCTGCTCAGATCACCACAGTAGTTGTGACCACTCTAAACACCACGCGCATCATCATGCGGTATATGCAGAACCAGAACCTGCAAAAGCAGGCGACGGCAGCGAGGTGAGGAGAGTGATGAAGACTTGGACACAGACTTCTCTCAAAGTATGGGCCCCAGCAATTTGGCCATCCTGGTGGCAATGGGGCAGGCTCATGCCATGGAACGCCGATTCTGGATCTGGGAAACAAGTACAGACTGGTGGGACTATATAGTGTTGCTGCGAAACTTTCGTATGCATAAGGGCACTTTCATGGAACTTTGTGACTTGCTTTCCCCTGCCCTGAAGCACCAGAATACCAAGATGAGAGCAGCCCTCATAGTTCACAAGCGAGTGGCGATAGCTCTCTGGAAGCTTGCATGCCAGACAGCTACAGGTGTTTGGAGTGGGCAAATCTACTGTGGGGGCTGCTGTGATCCAAGTAGCCAACACAATCACTGAGCTGCTGCTACCAAGGGTAGTGACTCTGGGAAACGTGCAGGTCATAGTGGATGGCTTTGCTGCAATAGGATTCACTAACTATGGTTGGGTGATAGACGGAACGCATATCCCTATCTTGGGACCGGACCATTAAGGCAACCAGTACATAAACCGAAAGAGGTACTTTTCAATGGTGCTGCAAGCACTGGTGGATCACAAGGGACGTTTCACCAACATCAACGTGGGATGGCCGGGAAAGGTACATGACGCTCGCATCTTTAGGAACTCTGGTCTGTGGGAACGGCTGTAGCAAGGAACTTACTTTCCAGACAGAAAAATAACCATTGGGGATGTTAAAATGCCTATAGTTATCCTTTGGGACCCAGCCTACCCCTTAATGCCATGGCTCATGAAGCCATACACAGGCACCAACAGTAGTCAGGAGCTGTTCAACTATTGGCTG